GAGAGGGGTGGGATTAAATTATGGGGAATCAAATACAAAATGGGAATTGACAGTTACTTTTTGCTGATGATACTGTGCTGATGGGAGATTCTAAAGAAAAATTGCAAAGGTTAGTGGATGAGTTTGGGAGTGTGTGTAAAGGTAGAAAGTTGAAAGTGAACATAGAAAAGAGTAAGGTGATGAGGGTATCAAATGGTTTAGATAAAGAAAAATTGGATATCAAATTGGGGAGGAATATGGAAGAAGTGAATGTTTTCAGATACTTGGGAGTTGACGTGTCGGTGGATGGATTTATGAAGGATGAGGTTAATCATAGAATTGATGAGGGAAAAAAGGTGAGTGGTGCATTGAGGTATGTGTGGAGTCAAAAAACCTTATCTATGGAGGCAAAGAAGGGAATGTATGAAAGTATAGTAGTACCAACACTCTTATATGGGTGTGAAGCTTGGGTTATGAATGCAGCAGCAACGAGGCAGTTGGAGGCAGTGGAGATGTCCTGTCTAAGCGTAGGCAATGTGCGGTGTAAATATTATGCAGAAAATTCGGAGTGTGGAAATTAGGAGAAGGTGTGGAGTTAATAAAAGTATTAGTCAGAGGGCAGAAGAGGGGTTGTTGAGGTGGTTTAGTCATTTAGAGAGAATGGATCAAAGTAGAATGACATGGAGAGCATTTAAATCTGTAGAAGGAAGGCAGGGTAGGGGTCGTCCTCGAAAAGGTTGGAAGGAAGGGGTAAGGGAGGTTTTGTGGGCGAGGGGCTTGGACTTCCAGCAGGCGTGCATGAGTGTGTTCGATAGGAGTGAATGGAGACGAATGGTATTTGGGACCTGACGATCTGTTGGAGTGTGAGCAGGGTAATATTTAGTGAAGGGATTCAGGGAAACCGGTTATTTTTTTATAACCGAACTTGAGTCCTGGAAATGGGAAATACAATGCCTGCACTCTAAAGGAGGGGTTTGGGATATTGGCAGTTTGGAGGGATATGTTGTGTATCTTTATATGTATATGCTTCTAAACTGTTGTGTTCTGAGCACCTCTGCAAAAACAATGATTATGTGTGAGTGAGGTGAAAGTGTTGAATGATGATAAAGGTATTTTCTTTCTTTTTTTGGGTCGCCCTGCCTCGGTGGGAGACGGCCGACTTGTTGAAAAAAAAAAAATAGTTTTTTAGCTACTCCTTCTCTCCAGTGTGATACATAATTTTTCTTTTTGTTAATACAGTGGAACCTCTGCTTATGAGTGCCCCACCATGCAAGTCTTTCAGGATACGAGCTGTCTCTTGGTCAATTTTTTGCCCCTGGATACGAGCCAAAATTCAGGTTGCAAGCTTCCCCCTCAAGGGAGGTTCCTTGATGCTGGTCAGGGGCTCTTGATCTTGGGAATTGTATCTGTGCTCCAGTTCCCTGAATTAAGCCTTAACACTTTCCATCCCCTCCCCCCACAGGCATTGTATAATCCTACGGGTTTAGCGCTTCCCCATTATAATAATAATTTTTTTTTTAACAAGTCAGCCATCTCCCACTGAGGCAGGGTGACCCAAAAAGAAAGAAAATCCCCAATAATAATAATAATAATAATAATAATAATAATAATAATAATAATATGTATAATAATATAATACATACTATAATAATAATTATAATAATAATAATTATAATAATAGTAATAATACTGTAGTAGGTAGTAGGTTGGTAGACAGCAACTGCCCAGGGAGGTACTACCGTCCTGCCAAGTGAGTGTAAAACGAAAGCCTGTAATTGTTTTACATGATGGTAGGATTGCTGGTGTCCTTTTTTCTGTCTCATAAACATGCAAGGTTTCAGGTACGTCTTGCTACTTCTACTTACACTTAGGTCACACTACACATACATGTACAAGCATATATTATATACACACCCCTCTGGGTTTTCTTCTATTTTCCTTCTAGTTCTTGTTTTTGTTTATTTCCTCTTATCTCCATGGGGAAGGGGAACAGAATTCTTCCTCCGTAAGCCATGCGTGTTGTAAGAGGCGACTAAAATGCCGGGAGCAAGGTCCTAGTAACCCCTTCTCCTGTATAAATTACTAAATTTAAAAAGAAAAACTTTCGTTTTTCTTTTTAGGCCACCCTGCCTCTGTGAGATACGGCCGGTTTGTTGAAAAAAAAAAATACTATAATAACAAGTGAGCTTCAGAATACCACTACTGGATGGCACAGTGAATACCACAACAACGCTCACAATCACTAGTGCAGGTGCTTACCTCGCAGTGGAAGGATTTCTCTCGCGTTTTGCTTACGTTTTGTGCGATTATTTTGCTAAATTTCTTTTTTCTAACCATGGGTCCCAAGAAAGTAAGTGCAAAGGGCAATGCTGAAAAGAAAAAGATGATGTCCATGGAAGTAAATCATGAAATCATAGATAAACACAAAAGAGGTGTGTGGGTTTTGGACTTGGCCAGTATTTTGTCCTGCCTCCTGAGAGCAGGAATTTTGCTGGAACAGATTAATGGCATTTTAGTTAATTTAAATGAGGAAAATTGATTCAGCATACAAGCAGATCGGATTACGAGCTAGGTCACAGAACGGATTAAACTCGTAAGCAGAGGTTCCACTGTAGTTTGATACCCTCATCACCTTACTCTTATCTATGTTCACTTTCAACTTTTTTCCTTTACACACCCTCCCAAACTCATCCACTAACCTTTGCAACTTCTCTTTACAGTCTCCCAAAAGCACAATACCATCAGCAAAAAGTAACTGTGTCAACTCCCATTTTGTATGTGATTCCCCATACTTTAATCCAACCCCTTTCCTCAGCACCCTAGCATTTACTTCTTTTACAACTCCAACTATAAATATGTTAAACAATCATGGCAACAACATTACACATCCCTGTCTATGGCCTGGAAAGTAATCTCCCTCTCTCCTACACTCCCTAATCTGAGCCTCACTATCCTCATAAAACTCTTTACTACATTGCTACCCTATCCATCCTATCATATGCCTTTTTTAAATCCATAAATGCAATGAAAACATGCCTAACATTATATAAATATTGTTCACTTATATGTTTCAATGTAAACACTTGGTCTACACATTTGAAAGCCTTCTTGTTAATCTACATTTCTGCTCTCTGTATTACCTCTAATTCTTTCAATAATAATCCTACCGTACACTTTACCTGGTATCCTCAGTAAACTTTTTTTTCATCAAATCAGCTATATCCTACCAAGGCAGGGTGACCTAAAAAGAAAAACTTTCATTTTTCTTTTTAAATTTAGTAATGTATTCAGGAGAAGGGTGTTACTAGCCCCTTGCTTCCTCGGTAAACATTTTTTTTAACAAGTCAGCTGTTTTCCACCAAGTCAGGGTGACCCAAAAGGAAACAAAAAAACTTTCATCATCATTTAGCACTTTCACCATCACTCATACATAATCACTGTCTTTGCAGAGGCACTCTGATACAACAGTTTAGATGTCCCTCCAAACTGCCAGTATCCCAAACCCCTTCTTTAAAGTGCAGGCATTGTACTTCCCATTTCCAGGACTCAAGTCCAGCTAACCAGTTTCCCTAAATCCCTTCACAAAAATTACCCTGCTTATACCCTAACAGCTTGTCAGGTTCCAAAAGCCATTAGTGTCCATTCACTCCTAACACGCTCATGCACGTTTGCTGGAAGTCCAAGCCCCTCGCCCACAAGAACCTCCTTTACCCCCTCCCTCCAACCTTTTAGAGGACAACTCTTACCCCGCTTTCCTTTCCCTACAGATTTATACACTTTCCAAGTCATTCTACTTTGTTCTCAGTAAATGTATTCCCCTATAATTTTTACAATCTCTTTTGTCCCCATTTCCCTTATATAAAGGAATTATACATCCTCTCTCCTAATCCCGTGGTACCTTCCCCTTTTTCAAACATTTATTGAACAAAAGTTCCAACCAGTCGAACACTATATCCCCCCCCTGTTTTTAACATTTCTGTCATGATCAAATCAGTTCCAGCAGTCTGTAATCATTAGGATTAATCTGCCCGAAATGCTCAGGCATGTTAGTGGCTCTCTTTGTGCTTAACAATATCTTATAATGTAAATATCACATTATATACTTTGCAAAAGCATAAATATTTTTATTTTTATTTGCACATTTGAAACTTCTGTCATATTACTTCTCTGTTTACCCTATCATATGCCTTTTATAAATCCATAATTTATAATAAACAGTTCCTTACCCTTATCTAAATTCTGCTTCACTTGTTTTAATGCAAACTCTTCTCTCATACATACCTTCTCTTTCTGAAGTCTCCATGTTTCCTTGTAATCCTATTTTCTTCCTTTTTTCTAACAGTTTCAATAATAATTTTTTCTTTCACTACCCAGTGTACTTATAAGATTTACTCCCATATAAGTACTGCACTGCTGTTTCCTTTTTCCTCATACTGGGGATCTACACATTTTTATTTTTATCTTCTCTTCTTTCATCTTTAATTTAAACAAATACACCAACCATCAGAAATTATGGTATTTCCAAGCTTATGATCTCCTAGTCTAACCCCCCCCCCCCCACCTTTACCCTCCACACACACATACTAACCACTTTCTCTCTCTTACAGGGTTAGGTTTAGCGTTCCTAACTTTATTTACAAGCTAAGAGCTGTTATGTATATCAGTTCATTTGAAAGTCTTTTTATTGTGAGAAAGGTCAATGCCAACTGTGATTTCAGTATCTGCATCTGATTCCCAGAAATGGAACTCACATTCATTATATTGTGCCAGTTAGAAATGATGCTTCTGCTTACAACAGCAGGCGTGACAGCAGCTTTCTCAGAACAAATTAGGTGGTAAGTGTGGGGGCCACTAGAAGTCAGTCTTAATCCCTTCTCTCCTAGTTGCTTTACCCCCTTTTCATTCTACCCATTAATGTCTTGTTATCAAGGTAATAACCCGCTACTGTTATTTCTTATTTGTACTATTCATAAAGAATATAATTCATTTTCACTTATTTTTTCTAATTTAATGTTTTTCAGCTGTTTATGTGCCTCTGGATATGGCATGGGGGGCAGAACATGAAGTGGTGGTACGAGAGGATGAACTGCGTCATTGGCTCAATGTTTCTTGGTCAGCCTTGCCAAGTGACAAGTTTACTTCTCTCATCCACTTTGTCAGTCATTCAGAAACACGTGCTGACCTCTCACTCAGGGCACTGGTAGAGTAATTTCCTTGTGTTTTAGAACTTATTTAATAATTCATTTTAGTTTTCTGTATTTTGAAACTTGCTAATATGGAGCAGGATGAAGTTGAAGCCATATGTGGGCCAGCAGTTTCATTTGATAAATTGACTTTTATCTTGTTGATATCATTATGCTCTGTCTGTCTGCATGTCTGTCAGCTTATTGTATTTTTAAATTTTCATAATGATCGTAACAATATACAGTGGTCCCTCAATAATCGTCCATAATCCGTTCCTGGAAGTGGGACTATTATCGAAATGGACGATTTATGAATCAATTTTCCCCATAAGAAATAATGTAAATTCAATTAATCCATTCCTGACACCCAGAAGTATTAAAACAAAAAATTTTTTTACATGAAATATAGATGTAGTACATAAACAATACAGTGGCACATGATGAATTAAACATTAACAGAATAACACTTACCTTTATTGGCGATTCTTCTTTGTGTATGGAAGACTGGAGAATGAGATTGATTGGATGAATTACTGTTTGGAAGGGGAATCCCCTTCCATCAACACCTCGGGTACCAATTGTTTTTCTGGGGTTACTTCTCTTCTCTGTTTCTTAATGCCACTAGGACCACCTTGAGAGTCACTGGAGTCCTGTCTCGCAAAAAAACTGTCCAGAGAGCTCTGTTTCTGGCGTCTCTTTAAAACTTCCCTAAAATGGGCCAAGACTCTGTCACTGTACAAGTTGCCGATATGGCTTGCAACATCCTTCTTTAGGTGATGTTTCTCCATAAATCTTTCCATCCCACTCCACATTTAAAAAATCTCCTTAATTTCTGAAGAAGGCACCTTCCTCCATCTCTCTTCCTCCTCCTCTGCAGCAAGATTCAGAGCTGCCATCTGTTGCTGTTCCTACTGAAGCTCTTGCAGCTCCTCAGTGGTTAGCTCTTTGTTGTGGTCCTCCACCAACTCTTCCACATCCTCCAAACTCACATCCAACCCCATGGAAGTCCCCAGTGCCACAATGGATTTAACAACTGACATAGGCTCATCAGGGTCAGCCCCAAACCCTTCAAAATCCCTCTTGTGGACACAATCTGGCCACAATTTTCTCCAAGCAGAGTTCAAAGTCCTGGTAGTCACTCCCTCCCAAGCCTTACCTATAAGGCTTACACAATGGAGAATGCTGAAATGTTCTTTCCAAAAATCTCGTAGGGTCAAGTGAGTGTCTGAGGTCACATTCAAGCACCTTTCAAACATTGCTTTGGTGTAGAGTTTTTTAAAGTTTGCAATGACCTGCTGGTCCATGGGCTGGTGGAGAGGAGTGGTATTCGGGGGCAAGAACTTTACTGTGATGAACCCAAACTCCTTTAGAATTAGGTCATCCAAGTTTGGAGGATAAGCAGGTGCATTATCCATTACTAGGAGACACTTGAGATCCAATTTCTTTTCCAGGAGGTAATTCTTCACACTAGGGCCAAACACTTCATTGAACCACTCTACAAAAATTTCTCTCGTGACCCATGCCTTACTATTAGATTTCCAAAACACACACAATTTACTCTTCATAACATTGTTTTTCCTGAACCCTCTGGGATTTTCAGAATGGTACACTAGTAATGGCTTCACTTTGAAATCCCCACTAGCATTAGCAAAGAAGAAAGATTAGCGTCAGCCTGTCTTTCATAGGCTTGTGTCCTGGCATTGCCTTTTCCTCTTGTGTAATGAAGGTCCTCTTTGGCATTTTCTTCCAAAAGAGGCCTGTTTTGTCACAATTGAACACTTGTTCAGGTTTCAGTCCTTCAGCCTCTATGTACTCCTGGAATTCATGCACATATTTTTCAGCCGCCTTGTGGTCCGAACTGGCAGCCTCACCATGCCTTACCACGCTGTATATGCCAGTACGCTTCTTAAATCTCTCAAACCAGCCTTTGCTGGCCTTAAATTCACTCACATCATCACTAGTTGCAGGCAATTTCTTTACCAAATCGTCATGCAACTGCCTAGCCTTTTCACAAATAAGCGACGTCATAAGACTGTCTCCTGCTAATTGTTTCTCATTTATCCACACCAATAATAACTTCTCAACATCTTCGAGTACTGGTGATCTCATTTTTGTCAGCATATTTACCCCCTTTGCAACAACAGCATCCTTGATTTCCTTTTTCTTCGCTATGATGGAAGATATGGTTGTACGGGATTTGTTATACATCCTGGCCAGTTCACCCACATGTACACCACTATCATATTGTTCAATGATGTTTTTCTTAAATTCAGTCATATTTCTCACCTTCTTTACCAAAGGATTGGCACTAGGAGCTTTCTTTGGAGCCATGGTACCTTATTTAGCACTTAAATAACTTGCAAGCACTAAAATAAATGAAATACAGTGGACCCCTGCTTAACGATCACCTCCCAATGCGACCAATTATGTAAGTGTATTTATGTAAGTGCATTTGTACGTGTATGTTTGGGGGTCTGAAATGGACTAATCTACTTCACAGTATTCCTTATGGGAACAAATTCGGTCAGTATTGGCACCTGAACAAACTTCTGGAATGAAAAAATATCGTTAACTGGGGGTCCACTGTATTATGAAATATTTCACTGGAGCACGTGAGGGGACCGTCGCTCACTGGTAAACAGTGGCACACTGGCTGGGAAGGAAAGGCCGAGGTGGCTCGAGGCCACTCAGACCGTGAGTACGCGTCCGGGACGAAGGACTATTAGCGAGTTACCGGACCATTTCCGAGCCAATATTTTGACGAAAAAACAGGACTATTTCCGAAATGGACGACTTTCAGGCCGGACGATTATTGAGAGACCACTGTACAGTGGAACTTCGAGTTTTGGCCGTTTTTAGTTTCGGTCACTTTTTTCTCCTAAATTTTGTCTTGAGTTTCAAACAGTACCTAGAGTTTAAACTGCCATACCAGACGTGTCCACCTGCCCACGCCCACACAAAGCATCCCACGTATGTGTTCTGAGTCAGTCTGGCTTTGTTTCTCCTCAAGTGAATATTACCCTGAACATTCATCCAAACATTTCACAATAATCCGTTACTTTTTGTGCTTGTTGATTGGAGGAATCACTTTAATATTTACAATATGATTCTAGGAATCACTTCAGTATCTACACCTGCATAAGCCTTATAGGTAAGGCATGACAGGGAGTGACTTCAAGGACTTTGAACTCTGCTTGGAGAAAATTGTGGCCAGAATGTGTCCAGGAGAAGGATTTTGAAGGGTATGAGGCTGACCCTGTCGACCCTACGCCTGTTGTGGAATCTATTGTGTCTTTGGGGATGTCCATGGGGTTGGAGGTGAGAAGACCACATGGAGTCTCCTGGTTATTCCGGGTCACACCCCCAGCCGGTCCATACCAGGCACTTGGGGTTCAGGCCTTTCAACCAGGCTGTTTATCTTGGCTGCACGTAGTCAGTACGAACCCGCCTGGCTTGGTCGTGGCACTGACTAAGTATCTCTCAGCTCCCTTTGAAGAACAGGGGTTTATTGGTAATTCCCTTATGCTTGGTGAGCTGTTGAACATTTGGCTCTAACAAATTTTATTTTAACTTAGTGTACCCCAAAGGCACCCTGCCTTAATTTGGGGATTTGCATCGTCTGCCCAAATTTAAATTTTATGAATGATTTCCGTGCAAATATTGTAACATGCATTTAAATTTCCCAAGTATTAATACAAAAATTTTCTCATTCCAACGAGTACATCAAATGCTACCAATGTTGCCAGTAGATTAAGGTTTTACAGAATAATAACTGCTAAAGTTTCTGGCACTCTTTTGATGAATCACCTGATTGAAAATTGTATGTAATTTCGTATTGAGGAACCATCAACCCATTTGGGACCATCATTCTTGGCTTCTTCTTTTCGTTCTTATTATCCATCCATCATCTCCTTGGGTGTGGCCTCTGGCAATAAACTGTCCAGAGAGTCCTTAAAGTGAGATCCTCAACATCACGGGAGAGCTTACCTTAAAACTTCCCAAAATCGGCGAACACACACACTGAGGATCGTTGGCTTGAGAACTAAGTAGGGATGGATGTCTTCTCAAGATTAACATTTAAAGTATTAATTGAAGGTAAGGACCTTCCTACTTGAAATATTACCCTGAGCAAGCTGAAACAAGCCATCTCTGCAACATGTTCAGTGACAAAACCATGTCCCATTTCAGACAAATGCTGAAGAGATGACAGAAACAGACCTCTCTGGACATTTTTTTTTTTTGTGAGACAGCGGTCCAGTGACTCTCAAGCTGGTCCTAGTATCTAAAGTCTTTATGGAGGGGGATTCCTCTTTCAAACAATAATAAATCCTCCCTCTCTCCACCCTGCCTTTCATACACCAACAAGAGTCTTCAATAAAGGTATGTAAATGTGATTGTTAACGTTATTTAAATGTTTATTTATTTCATTAGTCACTTAACCCTTTTGACTGTTTTCGACGTATAAATACGTCTTACGAGCCAATGTTTCTGACGTATATATACTCATATTTTTAAATATTAAATTTATTATAAATTTTGTGCACACCATAAAAAAAAACCTACAGATAAGATGAGTTATGCCAAAGCCACTTTATTACTATAGTATATCGATTACGGTTTCTTGGCTGGTATAAAATTAAAAAATTAAGAATTAATTTATGCAATTTTAATGAAAGTTTAAAGAGACAGTAACGAAAGATTACAAGTTAAGAAAGTAGTATAAAACACACGTCATAATCAAGGATTATTTGTCACTAGTGCATGTTATTTAAAATATATAAATTTAATTTGGGGTTTTAGTTTTAACATTTTGTATATTATTTGTAGATAAAAATAAAATAAACAATTTATAAGGTGAGTTATTCAGAGCATTTGGTTTTTGTAGTGAGTAATGATCTTGGTAGACTTGAATTTATAAAATTGGATTCTTTTATATTTACGTAAATGAATTCCAATTTTAGGCACCTTGGTTATTGAATGGAGGGTTTTTTGCTAGTGTAGATGAAATGGGAACTAA